AATAAAAATATGTTTGTAGCTTTAAGTTAGTTCAGGGTCAATTTAAGTTAAAATACGCAATAGAAAAACATCCGATGAAAAGGGCCACATGTGCCTATATAGCCTGGTCACTTAAATGAAACACTATTCATTTCAGATTTTCTTCTTCTCTCTCTTGCATGGCCGAGCTGCACATGGAGGAGAAGGGGCTAGGGTTTCAAATTTTCCTTCTTTGATTTCTTCATCATCCATTCTCCAAATTCAAAGACCCACCACATGAAATTGATTGGAAACCACTCAATGAATCCATTCCACCAATCAATTTGAGCTATAGTTGAGTGTGTGAGGAGTTTTTCCTTCCCCCATTTTCGAGCTACTATTCATCAAGGAGGAGAAATGACATTTTTGGTGGAGCTTTGCTTGGTGGATATCTTCTAGGCTTTGGGAAGTTGATTAGGGGTAAGAAACCTTTAATTCCATGATGTTATTTTGATGATATGAGTCATAGAAATTGTGAGCATGGGTTGGGTGTGAAATAAATTAGTTTAAAAGGAAATTTGATGATGGATTTTTGATGTTTTGAATATAAGCATATGAAATAAACATCCACGTGTTAAATGAAGAAAAATTCTTTTGGTTTGTACACCCCTAGGTTTGGTCATGATGCGTTGTATAAGGGTCATTGTGCAAAATTTTATTTGATATATTTAGAGTGTCTAATGTGTTGGAGTGAGTATTAATTTGGTAAATTAGTGTGAAGGCTAATAGGGGAAAAAAACTTTGTGTCTTGATTCCCTATGATTCGACTATGGAGAGTGGTGAGGGACTTGATGTCCAAACATTAAGTTGGAACAATATAGAAACATACATTTGTATGTGTAAGTTACATGTAATTAAAAAGAAAAAAACCCTTGCCTATTTCCTTATAGTGTTCGACCTAGAAGGTGGTATAGGGGTATATTTTGTTACATTTTTATTTTAATAAAATGTGTGTTTCAAAGTATGAAAATGATAAGTCATGAAGTGAAATGGTTTGAAAAGAAATCATGGAAAAATATATTGATTTCCTAATTTTAGGCCCACGGTCCTTTAAAGTAAAATGCTATGATTTATGTTGGAAATTCGTAAGGGAATGGATGATTAAATTAAAGAACACCAACGGTTATAAAGGGGTCTAGACTTGTGTATTGGCATAGGATTGGAAAAAATGCAAAGAAATGAAAAGAAGCGATAAAATATATGCCTTATGTGAAAGCTAGGCATGATGGCATTTTATTAATTGGTATCTGTGGATTCTTGCTCTAGGTGTACCTAGGGACTAAAAGGAATCAGAATCTCTTGAAGATATATAAGTAACTTGTGCAACAAGTAAGGGTATTGGTAAAGCTTCAAGAGGTAAGCTCTATGTTTAAGGAGTCTTTTCTTGCTTGAGTGCTCCACCATGGTTAGTGAACTATGGTTGGACTGTATGACTGTGATTTAGATGCTTTGTATAGATGCATTCATATAGAGTTATTTGATAACATTATATGTTTTGCTCTGATATGACTTCTGAAATATGATTTCTGTAACAATCTCTGGCCATTGATTGTATAGTACTCTGATGTCCGCTTTGGGGTCCTCCCTCGGGACTAATGGTGTACGCCTCTGATATGTCTGGTTCCGCTTTGGGGTCCTCCCTCAGGAACACGTGCGTTGATTTCCGCTTGGGGTCCTCCCTTGGGAATGACGGCGCACATCTCTGATATGATATGGATATATGCTCTGTCCTGTTATGATATCTGTTATATGTTGTATTTGTATACTCTGTATCTGACTTTCATGCAGGAGTGAGCCAGGGGTATGGAGAATTCTCTATAAACCTGGAGCTTATTGAGATTTGTAATCTCACCCCTCGTTGGGGACATATTTTCAGGTGCCCAGATTCCCGGTGAGTCCTCACTAGGCAGGGACGCGACACGTGGCTGAGGCAGTTGACGGATCGGATTTTGAGTGGTTGTAGGCTACTAATTTTTGGAAGCATATTCATGTCATTTTGTATTTCCGCGTTTGATGGATCATGACATTGATCCTTTATTTTGTATATGGCATGTATATGTTTTGTACATGTCTGTCAGTTTGATGCATGTACATTTGAGTATTCAGGCACGTTATATGATGGTGTAGTATTCAGTTATGTTTATGTATTGGACTGCATGCTGTTAGATTAGTGGCACTGAGCCAAGTTATGCATGCGCCCATGGATGGGTATCAGATTATATTTGCATGACTGGTACTTCTGGATTGATGTGCTGTATAAACTGTTATCAGGAAATGATTCTGAGTGGGATTGAAAAATCCCCAGTTGTTCGATTTATAGAGGAAACTCTGTCCGATTTTCGTTTACGTCGAATGAGAATTTAAAAAGAAAAAGAAAAAGTTAGCTCGTATTTTCGTAAGTTAAGTCTTCCGCTGTTTCTGTTTATATCATATGCATGTTAATTGAACCGGCTTGAGACGGGGATGTTACAAATAGCATATGTGCAATCAAAGGATTTTTATTTTTTTTAATAATGGATTGGAAGCCATAAATTTTGATATTATTTTTTTTCTAACATATCTAGCTCAATTTCGATTTTGCAGAATTTTTTCTTAAACATATCTTAAAAATGACATAAAATTCATTAAGAGTAGTTATCTTTGAATAAAATGTATAACAATAATGCTTGGTGGATACATTTTAGAGCATGCAGATTACCTTGCATCACCAAAAAAAAAAATACCACAAAATGGAATCAGTATAATTGTGTAAAAAATAATATGAAAATACGTATAATTTTTAGATCATAAAAGCTCTATACCTGTGAGATCATGTGTATTTAATATGTAATTGGATTGTATTTCGTTGCAATACAAACAAGGAAAAGGACTTAATAAGTTAATTAGTTCAAAAATAATACTATGCAGAAGATAAATATAATTAGGTCAATGACAATATCTAAAACATAAATATATGTTGGATCTTGTGTAACAATATACATACGTGAGCTTCCCTTACTATATTCAAACATCAATTCTAGCAACTCAATGATTTAAATGTCGTGCCATCAATGGCAATAACGCGTTAGCCAAACGGTGATGATTTAAATCTTTGAAAAAAAGAGAGCCAAAGCAGCAAAAGTCAATTGAAGAAGGAGCTCTTTCTAAGAAATTCCAATGTGAAAATAAAATAAAAAACGTTTTTGGTACGTCAATACTTGTCATCTCTTTGGCTATGCCATCTTTTAGAGATAACTTATTCCCATATTCTATATACTTTGAGTATTGATTACTCCATGGACACCCACCTTCAGTTTATGCGTAGAAAAACTTATGACCGACTTTATTAATTTTCGTAGAAGTTTGGGGATCAACTACCAACGTGTTTCGTGCCTTCTTAAACATGAAAATGATTTGTCTTTGTGCAACTTTAATATCCAGCACAGAAAATTAATGGTTCCCAATTAATTATCTTTGTTTTCTAACTCTGATTTCATTTTGATGGAATATTAATTAGTCGAATGATTCAACTAGGTGTCTGATTAATTAAAATTTTGAACTTTTCAAAATTAATTATATCCTTTTGAAATCAATCCTCATAGTAAATATTATAGTTCTTTTTTTAACATTTGTAATTTGATTTTATCCAAAAAAAAGAAACATTTCTAATTTGATTTCTACTGCATCATTTTCCAATTTAATAACTAAAAAAAGTAACAACTTTGACGTAAAAATGTTAAAATGAATGGTGACATTGACAGCGACAACTGGCCAAGCAGATTCCTAGTTTCCTACTTGATATAGAAGATAATTTAGAGAAGATAAACTTGAATTGATTTCTCGCTTAACTTTGTGGAGTTGTTATAATATCTTGTTTTAATCTTTTGTTATATTTGTCAAATATTTGTTTACAATGTATTTTTAAGTATTTATAGTTGCTAATTTTTACCATAATTATTAAAACTTATCATCACTAATAAGAGGAAAAACTAACAACTAAACACTTGGCTCCTTTAGGTTAACTTTATCATTATTCCTTAGTTAGTTATTTCTTTATAATTTATTTTCACGTTCTCAATATTCATAGGCTGATTTTTAATGACACGTGTCGACAAGTGGGACGCACATGCATCCCATGATTGGGGTAATGGCTATTCACGTCAGCAACTTTGGACCGTTATTATCTCTCTCATAGAATCAACGTCCAATAGTTTCTGATCAAAAAACACATTTATTTTGTAATAGCAGATTATTCCTACCTTTTTCTTTTTCACCTTTACTTCATCTCCTCTTTTTTAACGTTATTAAATTACAATCTCAATTAATTTATAATTTTTTTCTTTCTAAAATTATGATTTAATAGTATTAGAAAAAATAAATTGAATAGACAAATATAATATCATATTTTATATTATTAATTATCATATATTGTAATTGTAGAGGTATGAATGAATCTGCCGACTTAATAGGAATTTACGATTCTGCTTATATTAGATTAGACTCGACCTGCTACGTAAAGTTAAATAAAACAAATTTGTTTACTACAAAAAAATAGAACAAATTCAGATATAAAAAAAAATTATTTAAAAGATAGGTGAGAAGCTTTTTTTCACTTACAAAACCTATAAACTGTCCTATATCAAATTATTATTTTAAATAAAATAAATAAATTATTATTTAATGATTTTAAAAAATAAAATAAAATAATATTATTTAATTATTAAATATTTAAATAATAATGTTATTTTATTATTAAAAATTTAAACAAATTAATAGATTTAAACCAAAATTTTTATTTTTTAAATATAAAAGAGACCAAACTAATTATTTTTATTGTTTAAATGAATGAGCATGCATAGTAAGAGTGTAAGACCCTCTCTCTCACCGTACATCAGAAGAATCGGTGCAATCTGGACCGTTGGATGCAGCGAGATGAAAAGGATGGAAAAATAGCTCTATAAATTCTGAAGAAAACGAGTTTCAGAGTGATTGGGTTTGCTTCAGTGCACCCAGAAACAGAAGCAGTAGGAGGAAGCCGATTAGATAGAGAAAGAGAGAGAGAGAGAGAGTTAGCGAGTTAGGGTTTCGAATTTAATTCACTGAGTCTTTGCATTGTGTCGCCGGCTTTTTTCTTTCGCCGGAGAAATTCTTGCTCCGATCTCCCCTGCTTTTGTTTCCAATAGCATAGCCGTTTGAAAGGATCGGTATTTCCGGCGAGGAGTTTGGGATGTTCCGGTGATTCTTTGATGATTTGAGTGTGGGCAAATTCCCGATTTTGACCCAAAGCAAAGGTCTTTACTCAAAAAAATTTACTGGGTTTGATTCGAGTCGTCTTCTTTGTCGATTTCGCGTTGATTAGACTGAGCATGACTGTGTCATTGTGATTGAGATTTGCGGTTTACATTTTTTGAGGAATTAAAAAAAGAAGTTAAAATTTATTGTTTTGGAATTCGGATAATGAACTTTGTTTTTGAGTGTTATATGCCTGAGAGAATTGTTCCCGACATTCAATTTTGGGAAGTGGGTCAGTAAATCTAGGCTAAGTTCTTCAACGTGCTGAATTGGGTTTGATATTTGAGGAAACCTTGACAAATTTACTGCATCTATTTCGTTCATGCTTTTGCTTTTGCTTTTTTTAAAAGGTTTGTACTTTTGTCAATAATAATTTATGCTGATGGTTTTGTTGGATTGAATTCATTTTTATGCCAAAGTTGTTCAATTGATTTCCTTTTGTTAGTGAATTGATCATTTCCTAATATAGTGGTTACTGCAACAGGCAGGAACCACTGGCTATTTCGTGTCTCAATTTTTTTGGCCTCCAAGTCTGTGGCTTTTCCCTCATTCTTTCACTAATCTTTGCCCTCCAAAAGAGCTTCACTCATTGTAACCCTTTAGCCTTGAATCGCTATTGGAATTGGCAAGTATGGCTGTCTCTTTGACACGTTTCTCATGGTGGTTATGGGGTGGCAAGGAGAAAGAGCCAGTTTCTAGTGGCTCTCCTCTGAATTCATCTTCTGAATGGGGTTTTTCCTTGAAGGAACGAGAGACTATGAAGTTCCCTTTGGTGAAGGGAACAAAGATTGCTCCATCTCACAGGAAGGTTAAACGGAAATTGCAGAGCAGGGAAGAAAGGAGAATTGATAGAGAGTATGATGTTGTATTGGTGCCATCCGATGGTGGTGGTTGTTTGTCAGGCTCTGAATCTGATGACTCAGACTGGTCCATTGGGTGGTTGGAGCCTCATGGCTCTGATTTTCAGAGTGATGATGAGTCGGATAATAGTTTTGCTGTACTGGTTCCTTGCTATAGACCTGGATGCAAGGAGGTGGAGGGTTCAAATAACGAGCTTTTGAGTGCCATCAAGAACCTCCCAAATGAATTTTCTTCTGGTAAGATTCAGAACGTGCTCTTGAAATATATAATTTGTTTTCGTTGAGTTATGTTGTTCTCTTTCTTAGCACTGTTCAACTTTTTCTGAGTAGTTAATTCTTTATGCTGTTCCTTTAAGGACAAACAAACTTTGTTCCGGTGCATTTTATATGTATTTTATAATTCATGATTTTTTAGTTCGTTTGGCCTTCTTGTTGATGATTCTAATTCTGATGAAGAAATTTGTCTGTCATAATCATCATGGCTATTTTGTTTGTGATTTTGTTATATTGATAATTAATACCGCTTAGTAACTATAAGTGCAATGGTGATTAGGGCTTCTGGCTCGCAAAATCCAAATACATAAGACAAATACTTCCCTTTTTTCATAGAATTGTCTTCAAATGTATCGATCTACGAGGTCTTTTTTTTTTGTTGGGGTGTGTGTGTGTGTGTGTGTGTCTGGATACTATTGGGGCATGTTTTTCTAGTCTATGTGGGTTTTGGCTCCTCTTTTATTTTCTGGGTGCTTTCATGTCTGATTTGCAAAGATACTGCCTTTCTTTTCTGTGTTAATTTTCTTTGTTTGTTGTATCTTTCTCTGTTCCAGCAGTTTCCTGATACTTCTGCCATGCACTTCTTTTTTCAGATAACAAAATTTTATTTTAATAGAAAACAAGGTCTTAGCTTGGAATCTTTGCTCAGGGCGGTAAATAAATTTTACTAAGTTGCTTTTATGATAGAGAAAAAAGTTATGCTCTCAAGTAACTTTAACTTTACAATTATTTAAGGTCCTAAATTCCACGCTATACAAGCCACAGTCAAATGATTGCGGACTTCCTTTTGTGATTCTTCGGTATTAGTAATTTTACGACAAAAATTGATTCCAATCTTAACATATGACCCTGAATAGCTTAAGTGACTTCAATCTTTTCTCTTATGTTTAGCCTCTGGTTTTTGGGTTGCTTACCCTTGGTTGATTGTTGAGCACAATATCATCTGGCCGTTCGAGTTGGATTTGTAGATCATTACTTCAGTTCAACTCTGCAATTTTTAATAGTAAATAGAAATTAACGATAAGCGTATACTATATGATATTATGTGTAATAAGTTATGCTAAGCAGAACAACCCTACTTTTCTATTTCTGAACTGTTTCTTGTCCATGGAAAATGAGCTCTTGTTTTCCAGATCTTCATGGTTGACCGTACGTTAAAACTTAATCATCCTAGGACATACGGATCAAGTTGATTGAACAACAATTGCATACTCCAAACTGCAAGTTGGGTATTATTGTGCTTAAAATAACAACCTGCCATCTTCAATTGAGCTATTTGTACAATTCAAAACTAGGGAAAGTTGTCTTGTAATTAATGATGGCAACGCTTTTGGATCTATACTTTTGTTGGAAATCAGGGGAGTAAAATCATTCATTCACAGTACTAGTTTTTCTTATGGTTGTTAATGCATTCATCTGTAATATTATATCTGTATCTGCCTTTTAACTAGGGGATGTGCCATCCATCCGTACTTAATTTTTTGGGGTACTGATTGAATTTGCAGCTGGCAACAATTACATGGAACAATGGCTTGCTTCTATTCAGAATTTTGAAGCGTAGAAAACTACTTCATCTTCTATGACTACGGACCTCTCTGACAACCTTCTAGTAGTAGAGGAGGCAAAATAATCCATGAATATCCTTTATTCATCCATTGTACTTTTTGTATATAGAATCCTCCTCTCCTCTTATTGTAAAAGCTTAAATTGAAATGGAAATTTTCGATCTAGAAAAATACTATATAACCAATCACTACTATAATGAAAAGAATTCCACTTATCAAAAAATAAAAAAATGAAGAATTTCGCATGGACATGATATGGAGTTATAGACTTATAGTGGAGGATTGCATTTGTCATATTTTGAAAGATTAGATATTTTTGTACTCTAATAATTGCTCATGACAACTGAATACAATTGTAAAAGTAATCAAATATTTTGAATGGGTAATGCGGTTGCCCTTCTTAACTAGCTATTCATATTTTTTTATTAATCATTTTTTATTATAATATCTCAAATTATGTAAACGGAGAAATAAAAATATAAATTAAGTTAAGGCTTTAATCACATTTTGGTTGATAAACTTGTCTTTGGGGTGCTTTAGTATGTGCAGAAATGGAAATGCAATATGCAAAGATAAATTATCCTATCCACTTTTACTACGCACAAACTAGGAAACAATATTCTTTTCTTTTTTCTTTTTCGGTCAGTTCTTCATAAATTCATTTTGCAATTTTTTTTCTCTCCATCTTGGGGACCGTAACTCTGTATAACTCTTTTATCAAAACTGGCATATAATGCGTGGGACCACATGAAGGTGCGATGCAAAGATGAACCACATAGAAAGGAAGAATAGAATAAATATGCTGAATATTTTCTCTCAATTGGATAAGATTCTTCCTTTTTGAGCCTTGAGGCTTGACTTGAAAGCGTGGGTGGTAATATAGAAAATTTTGTAAGGACAAAGGAAAAGAAATAATTATTTGGCCGAAATCTATTTGAGAATATACAAGCATTTTGCTGTCAAGTTATCATTACTTAATTTTTTTTTATGAGGAATTGGAATTCATAGAACTGACATTTCAACACGATCCCCATATCTTGTGCATGACGATATAAACTAAAACTATGATTAAATGATTTGGTTGTCTCTGCCTCTTTCCCATTGTTTCTTTTATATATATTTTTTTCTTTATTTGTAATTGTCTCTTTCACATTGTTATTATGAAGTTACAACGAAACAGAGGACTTTGACCTCGGAATTATAACGCATTGTTTGTAGCCAGTTATACAACGGGAGAAGAGAAGAGAAAACTAAAAATAAACCACAGAGGAGACATGAATAGAAAGGGAGGCCATATTTACAATTTTTTTTTCTTTCAATCATTTTTATAATCGGATCAAAATTAAATTAATGATTACAAAATAATATTAAGTGAGACTGTTGATTTGATTTTAATCCAACAACAATAAAAGTGATTGTAAGGAAAAAAAGATGGTAAATATAATATTTCCCAAAAAAAATACCATAATTTTTTCTTCTTTTGCTTGAGTTTAAAGAAGAAGAAGCAAAAATATTTATCTTTTTTTATTTGATTTATAATTAATTAATATTTGATATGTATGTTTTTCAATATTAAGTATGATAATATATTATTTTTATGATTAATTATTGTAACAATTATATAAAAAAGGGGTTGCTCATGAATCCCTCAGAATTAATTCACTCTTAATAACTTAAAGTCTTTTAACTTTCATTTGAGATTCATGTAACTTTAGCCATCCTTATTCATGTTTTACAAAAGAATTTGGTTTTTGTGCGAATTCATGGTATTTTATGATAAAAGTATTAAAAATATATATAAAAGACTCTTCCAATCATAAAAAAGAGTTTAAATATAAAACATAGACTGATTGTCAGTTTGTCACTTTGTTGTTATTGTCTATAAATTAGTTGTCAAATTTTGAAAATGTGGCAAGCAAACAATTAACATTAATATTTTTAGATATTTCTTGTTTCTTTAATTTGTTGAGATGTTACTTTTTTTTATACAAATGAGAAAATAAAAATAAAAAAAGACTACAAACAAACATAATCGTGACTTCGTGAGCCCTATCCTCACAATGTAATACTAGAAGAATAGAAGATATACTAACGATAATAGTTTAGTTGGAATATGGGAGTTGAATATGTGAGATAAAAGCATATATTCAATTCCACTAAGATTATCTTTAGGAAAGATTTAAAGTCTTATTCCTAAATTTACCTCAAATAAAATTATCTCTCGTAAAAGATACACATGATTTATCAAAAATAAATAAATAGAAGATATATGTACTCCGTATCTATTGCTAGCGTTGATAAGGGTGTAGTATGCTGATTTTACCAAAAATAAATTCTATCTGAACCACTTTTTTCGTTTTTTAAAATGTTTGACCGAATCAAATTTTTGGTCAAATTTATTACCTGACTAATGCAGAAAGACGTAACACTTGACATCAACAATATCTTTATCCTAAATTAATTGGTGTGGTGGTAGATGAACCCAAATAAAAGATACAAAAAGGTTGAAAAAATAAAAATAAAAGTAAAAATAAATAAAAAATAAATAAATAGAATAATATATATATATATATATTTATATATATATAAAAGTAAAAAAGAAAGGGAAAAGAAGAAGAAGGGGAAATGAAGGGGAAAAGGACTAAAAAGGGACCATCTGGAACATAGGAATAACAACGTGTCTAACCTCCACCATGCTTATAGCTTTTCTCCATTCCGTTCTAAGGCATACCGTCAGCCAATGTATATCTCACTCCATTAAATCTTGTTTTACTACCTTCCCCCAAGTAAGTTTCGGACTACCTCTACCTTTTTTTGTGTTGAGCTCTTGGTAACAAACTTCTGTTCTTAGGGAGCATCCATGGGCCTTCTCATTACGTGCCCAAACCACCTCAATCTATGTTCTCTCATCTTCTCAGCCACCGGTAGTACTCCTACCTTTCGTCGAATATCTTCATTTCTTATCTTATCCATCCTCGTATAATCACACATTCACCTTAACATCCTCATCTGTGCTACTCCCATTTTATGTTCATGTTGTCTATGTGCTGGCCAACATTCAGCTCCATATAGCATTGCAGGTCTTACTGCTGTTCTATAGCATTTTCCTTTTAACTTAAGGGGGATTTTGCGGTCACACAAAAACCCAGATGCACTACGTCATTTCATCCACCCTGTTCTGATTCTATGATTTACATCCTCATCAATCTCTCCACCTTTTTGCAAAATGGAGCCCAGGTATTTAAAAACATCTTTCTTGGGTACTTCTTAACCACTTAGATGCACGGGATCTTTTGTAACGCCCTGTGTATACCCGGTTGTTATCACGTCATCGTATTAAGCTACGCTTAATTAAAATGCGGAATTAACTTTTCTTTTCAATTATGACGTCATTATTAATTACCGAGTTGATTACTTAATCCTTATTCAAAACATTGCTTGTATGTAATTGCAAATAGACAACTAACTACACTGAATATCCTCATAATATAAATATGTGTGTATCTAAATCACAGAACTACAACACATAGTTCGGACCATATCCTTATACATTTATACCACTCAATTCTAAAATAAGACATAGTCAATCAATGTGGCATGGACAACCCCCATGCTCACCAAATAAGGCAACAAAGCCCAACAGTGTCTCAAATCAAACAACATGATAGTAAATAAAGAACATGTCAGCAACCAAGCATATCATCATAAACAACATATATCTCAACTCAGCTCCGGCCTCCTGCCGCCCGAGGTATCAACCCCCGAGTTACCTGAACCTGAAAATGTGCCCCAAACGTGGGGTGAGATCTCTAAACAGAATCTCAGTAAGACAAGGGGTCCTCAAGGATCTCTCCACCCCAAGCTCACTTACATGTGCAATATAAGTTCTAAAAACAGTAAAACAGCATAAGTTCCAAAATCAGTGCAATGCAGCAGAATAATCATGTCATGCGTGTCAAAATATCCTACTGGCCAAAGAAATGCAGAATTTACATACGTCTATTACCTACAATCAGTGCAAGACACCACTTACACCCACCCACATAGTCATCCTATTGTATGTCTCCACATACTTAGACTTACCGTCTAGGTGGCACAACACATGCATATCATAAAGCACTTGCACATAACAGCTCAACAGCATTTCAAAGGTTCAAACATGAAAACACATCATGCATATAAACCATTCCCCCATGGGGTATGGTGGAACCAACAATGGCTAAACCGAGGACACAAAAGCTTACCTCTTTAGCAATCAATCCAAGCCAAGTCCACACTAGCTCAATGTCACCAAACAGCACAATCACAATCTGTTTTAGACTATAATCATATCAATATTCATACACCAATAGTTCATGACATAACGACAACGTCTCATGCCATTAGGCTTCTCCCAAAGCCATAAGCCCTTAATCTCATTGATTCTGACTTAGAATATTTATTACAGAGGTTCAACTAACCAATCTAGGCTCCATAAACCCCAAATACAGTTTTGTATGAACAGAACAGTCACACTCTCGAAATTCTCAGAATATCCAGATATCTCCAACCCATATCCGGATATTTTGCGACATAATGCAATTTCTGCATTTCGCGAGATATCACTCCCAAGGTTCAACTTTTAACCCAATTCAGCGTCCACGCATGTGTTTTTATACACTTTTAGGTTCATATTCATGTTAGTTACCTATTTAACTCATTTTACATGCCAAGACTTGATCTTTAACAAGGAAACTCATGATCAAAGGTGAAGAACATACCCCAAGCTCCAAAATAGAAAAGAGAGGTGCTCTTGGAGCTCTCTATGAAGCTCCCAAGGTTCTGACTTCAAGATGCACGAAAATGGCACACCAAGAATGGTTCTTTCTCTTCAAAGATCACTCCTTGAAGCTCACAATGCCATGACAATGGCTTCCACAACAAGGTTCAAGAACTCAGCCCAAGACTCTCACTAAACAGTACCCACAACTCAGAAACAAGAGCCTCTCACCCACTCAAGTCTTCCCCACACCCAACACTGGTGTTCTGATGAAGGTAAAGTGAAGAAATGTAGTCACTTTGGCTCAAAAGAGGAAGAGGGAAGGGTGGTCATCTTGGAGAGAAACACAGCAGCCAACTCTCACGTAGGAGGCACCAGAAATGACCTGGGATCATGTGCCAACAAGCATTTATAGTGGTTTAAGTTTTAATCGCATTGTATTAACTTTAATAGCTACGCTTAGGATTTTAATCTCAAACTTAGGATTCTGAACCTAGCCATTTTTCTAAGATTTTTCATATTTTTATTTTATTTTTCGCAGCACTTTGTCGGTACGCGCTTTTACGTAGCCAGTATCATTTCTGACACCAATTCT